TGATGCTCCTGCCTCAGCTTCCCAAGTAAGAAGTTGAGATTACAAGTATGTGTCGTGATACCCAATAACAGATAAATTATAAATCATAAAACTACAAAGAAAAAAGATTTGGAAAGAAACTTAAAAACAAGATAAGATTTCACAGATAATATCACAAAAAAAACCCCACATTTTCAAAAGAAAAAAATGACAAAAGACTTCATTGATGTTCAAAACTGATTTGCAAGGTATATGCATTATAACTTACATATTCAGAACATACAGAGTTCTCACAATTTGAAAATGGGCAGCAAACTGTACCAGACACTTCACCAGAGAAGGTTCCATCAGTGTGATAAACAAAGCCATCCAACACCACTGCTCACTAGAGATATGCAAATTAAAGCCACAAGGAAATGCTAGCACGTACATTCTAAAAGGTCTGAGAGCTTAGGACTGACCCTTGAGAGCTGACAAGGATGGGGAGACTGACTCTCCCACAGTCATCTAAGAATGTAGTTAGACAATCAATTTGGAAAACTGCTAGTATCTCAAGAAGCTAAATACAAGCTGCAGTACTGGATTATGTTCTACCCTTAGGCATTTATCCAAAATAAATGAGTACATGTCCATTTAAAGTTTTGTAACTGAATATCCACAGCACCTTATTTGTAATATGTCAAAGTGGAAATCCCCCCAAATATTGAAAACAAGGAACTGGCCAAAGAACTATGGCATAAGAATATAGTAGGTTACAACTCAGGAATAAAAAGAGACTACTGACATAATACCCATCAATTTCAAAATAATTATGCCAAATGAATGAAGCCAGACAAAAAAGTCTGCAGGATTCTATTTATTTTTGATTGTGAGCCTCGCCTTTAATGGCTGAGCCATCTCTCCAGCCCAGCATGGTTCTATTTATATAAACTTCTGGAAAAATAAAGCCAGAGGGAGGTAACAAAAAGATCTGAGGGTGGTTGCTAGGGGCAGGGAAAGGCATGAGGACAGCAGAGAGGGAACATGGGCAACTTGGGGGTAAAGAGGTTTGTTCTTATCTTCACTACGATGGATTTTTACGAGTATTTATACATGTTATAAGTCATCACATTGAGCTAGAAGTGGTGGTGTACACTTTTAATCTCAGTGCTTGCGAGGCAGAAGCAGGTGGGTCTCTGTGAGTTCAAGGCCAGCCTGATCTACGGAGTGAGTTTCAGGGCAGGTAGGACTGTTACACAGAGAAACTTTGTCTTGAAAAATGAAAAAAAAAAAAAAAAGGAATCACAGTGAATACTCTATGTATAGTTAATCATATGGCAATTATTCCACAATGAAGCCATTTTTAAAGACTTCCAGTGAGGTACAGTAGCACATGCTTATACTTTCTGGTTGAGGCAGGAAGATCTTGAAATTGAGACCAGTCTGGGCAATTCAACAAGGCCCATCAAAATAAACTGAGCCTAGTGGCAGTGAGTCTAAGGAGTTTTACCACTGTGGCTGGAGACATAGCTCTGAGGTTAAGGACACTTACCAGGGTTCAGGTACCAGCACCCACATCAGATTTTACTCCAATCTAGGTGATGTGATGCTCTCTTCTGTCATATAGACAAACATGTAAGCTGACCTCAAACTCACAGAAATCTACCTGCCTCTGTCTCCCAAGTACCAGGATTAAAATCATGCATTGCTTCGTCTCCTGTTTAAAAAATCTTTAAAAAACCAGAAATGCTGGAGAGATGGCTCAACGGTTAAGAGCACTGACTGCTCTTCCAGAGGCCCAGAGTTCAATTCCCAGCAATCACATGGTGGCTCACAACCATCTGTAATGGGATCTGATGCCCTCTTCTGGTGTGTCTGAAGACAGCGACAGTGTACTCATACATAAAATAAGTAAATAAATCTTTAAGCAAAACAAAACAAAAACAGAAATGTAAATAAATTTAAAAAGAAAAAAAGAAAATTGTATCATTATAAGCTTTTCTTTTAATTTGTCTTTTTGTATCCTTAAGAGAAGGAAAGGGGCCAAAAAGAGAAAACCAGTCTCCTGAGACCTCATGTTCATGGCATAGATTTCTATGCTTAGAAACGTGGAATCCTAGGCCTGCCATGGATGGGGTTAGAGGAGTAGTTTAACTCAGTGACTGAATGGGAAGCGTGAAAGCATTTACTAGTATAGGCAATGTTTCCAACAGTAGGAAAGAAAAGGAAAGGAAGAAAGGCACACATAGACACGTGTATACTAGATGAAGCAGATAAGGCTACAGAGCTGATTAATTGTGGTTCGTAGTTTTTATTTCTCAAGATAATGGATCACATGGTTTCTTTAAGCATTTTTAAGCATTATACTCCATACATTCTCAGTAAGTTTAGGGCAAGAGTTCATGTCCTAGCTCTCCAAGGCTTAAGGAGTTACCGCAGAATTGTTTACATGTCTTTCCATTAAGACTAGTACCTGACTAAACATTTATCTGTTACTAGCTCCGTTAAGTTCAATTTAAGTTTAAAGCAATAATTTTTATGTCATAAGTTAGCACGCCTTTGTCAAGAGATAAGGCATCTGCCTTGTGTCTTATTATTTTTAAAGTCTTGCTCTAGAATAAAATGTCCTTCCAGTTCCTTATTTTGTCTCATGTCTGAGAAACACTGGGCAAAGATCTCCATCTGTCTGGTCACTAACTCTCAGACCGCTAAAGGACTCACCACTGACAAGTGTTCTGCTCAGTGTGCTGAGAACCTGGGAACTACCAAACAAACAATTTTATATATTCACCAAAGAAGGGAGCACAGGAGCAAACACCACATATGCATGCAGCTCTGAAAGTGTGTCTAATGTTGCATAATCATAGTACATATGTTAAGAACCACACAGTTGGAGAGTAACTCCTGAGAACAAAGGGGGAGGACAGGGAGGCAGTGCTTCAATTTGTTTTTGTGCTGTTTGTTGTCATAAAACTAGTTTCTCTTTCCAAAACAAGCATAAAGGTTTATTTTATTTGCTTATGATTTCACTGAATTTATGGTCAATAAATAGAAACAGAGGCTGAGGAGAGCTCTGGTTTTGAACTATGGTATCACAGAAAAATAATGAGTTGTTCTTTTTAAGAGTCTCAGAAATAGAAAAATCTTAATAAAAATTGCCTTATATGCCAAATAATGCAGTCTTTCATTTTAATAAAGTTGGGTATTTGTTTGCTACACTCTAGATCAGTGGTTCTCAAGCTGTGGGTCATGGCCACTTTGGGGGCTGAACAACCTTTTCACAGGGGTCACACATCAGATGTCCTGCATATCAGATATTTATGATTCATAACAGCAGCAGAATTACAGTTATGAAGTAGTAATGAAAATCATTTTATGGTTGGGGTCACCACCACATGAAGAGCTGTATCGAAGGGTTGCAGCATTAGAAAGGTTGAGAAAGCATTAGAAAGGCTGCTGTTTTAGATGCTTAGAACATTATACAATAACATTTTTAGAAATCCTTGGGTTTTAAAAACCATCAGCTATCAAACATCAAGTCCCTTTACCATAAGTAAGGTTAATACATAGCAGCCCAAGATGAGACACTATTTTCTGGACTCCTGCAGCCTATGGTTGCATCTGTTACAGAGGTTAAGAGGATTTGGTAAAGACAAGAGATCTGTGGAACCAGAGATGCTTTACATGTTCTCTTTCATTATGTCACCTAACAACACAGAATGGCGCTTAAACTTACATGAGACTGCCACCTAAGTACAACTTGGTTAGACTTTTCCAAAATTATTTCCACTTATTATACTTGTAGTAGGAGTAACCAGTTTAATTTTGATCCTATTCAGGATTATAACAGTTTTAAAACTCAAAGTCCTACATTCTAGTTGCAGGCTCCTCCAAATGCCTGGTCCTCCCAAAACATTTAAGTTAGGAGAGTACTGTGATTATTTAATAAATTACCTAAATTTACTGGTGGGAAAGTAAGGAACCCTAAATCTTCAGAGTACAAAGACAAATCTTTTTTTTTTTTAATACTTATTTATTTATTGTATATGAGTACACTGTTGCTGTCTTCAGACACACCAGAAGAGGCCATCCGATCCCATTGCAGATGGTTATGAGCCAACATGTGGTTGCTGGGAATTGAACTCAGAACCTCTGGAAGAACAGTCAGTACTCTTAACCGCTAAGCCACTTCTCCAGCCCCAAAGACAAATCTTAAGGCTCAATCTTGAGACACACAGACACACAGACACACACACACACAGAGACACAGACAGACACACACACGTATATGCCCCTCAGAGACCAGAAGAGATCCTCTGGAGCTAGAGTTAACAGGCAGTTGTGAGCCACCTCATATAGATGTATCTTGGGACCTCTGGAAGAGCAGGGATTGCTCTGAGCCCCTGAGCTATCTCTCCAGGTCCCTAATCCTCACTTGTGACTTGCCTTTAATGACAGCTTTTACTAGCAAGTACACATTATCCCACAAGGCAGCCTTGCAGACCTGAGACTGGCCTTGTCGTGGTTTTCCTTCATACTGGTTGTATCTCAGAAAATTCTACCAATTCCCTAGACATCTCACAGGCCTCCAGTCAGCAGTGCTTAGCTAACATGGTTACAACAGACAGATTTAGTGTGTGTGGTGTGAAGAGTTTGGGTAAATACCATGTATCCCACCCCTCTCCTGAACTCAGAATGGTTCACCGTCCATCGTATAATCACTATCACTAAATACTTACTGAACACAGTCAGAAACTGACTGGCACTAGAAAAAGTAATAAAATGTAGTCATTCTTCCTATAGAAGAGTAGAATCAAGACAGATAATGTGAAGGATGAGGTCCTTACACATCAGGAAGATGGACAAAGTTTCAGCTGGGGTGATATGAAGATAAGTCCCCGGCAGAACAGAGTAAAACAAAAGCAGTTTGGGGTCCCCTCGCACCAAGGCTATGACATTTCCCCACAGCTTCAATGTTTAACAAGAAAAGACATTCGGCAAAGTAGAGCAAACCTGCCCCAGTCCCAGCAGCCAACACTGACCTGGCTCCGGACAGCGCTGCTGGAGTGGCTATCCTCAGACATCTGTGCATTCTGGAAGTAGGACAAAGGTGCAGGTATCTCTGTCATTGGAGCAACTGAACAGAAATACCTTTTCAAAGAGAATAAAGCCTCTGGAGATTCTGAAAAGGGAAAAAACAAAACTAAATATTATGCTTGAAGATGACTCGTGTGTTTTTAAACTCTCTCACAAATTTCATTTTGGAAAAACAAACCTTTCTCTCATGTGTTCTCCTCCAGGCCAAGCTGCCTAAGGACCTCGAAGGGCTGCTGTCTTGTGTTGGTTCCTGGATTAAAAATAAATTGGATTTTACCAAGCCACTCATAATTAGTCAAATCCATTTGTAGCTGTTGGGATTCAAACCCAGGACAAACAGCTGAGGTGCATATTTTACATATCAAGACAGGAACTGACCTCCAGGTTCCCCCAGCATCCCCCTGTCCCTACACTGGGTGGGCTTCCTGCCCCCAAGAGACTCTCTCCTATATAATCCAAACATTTTGGTCTCTTCCTGCCCCCTCTCCATTTTTTCTCTCCCTATGTGCACATGCTCTTTCTCTTTCCCTCCTCCCCATCTCCCTCCCCACGTGGGATCAGTGAGCCCACCTGAGAGCTGCTTCTCAATAAACCTGCCGTACTATACTTTAATCTGGCTTGAATTGGTTCATTTCATCAGCAGAGAAATAACTTATCGTCTGGTGTCCTGACTCGGGAGCCCCCACCCACGTAGGAATAGGGGGCCACTCCTTTCCCCATCTTTCTCTGCCCCTGATGCGACAGACTTTGGACTCATTGAATAGCCACTTCCCAGCAGCCTTGGAGCACCAAGTGCCAGAAGCCAGTTGGGGGGCCTTCAGTTCAGACATTTGAGCTGAGGCTAATCCCCCTAACACACACTGTACCACCCCAAGCTTATGTGCAGGACAGTGTACATTTGAGCCTTCAGTCCCTGGCAAAGCCTAGAAGAATGGGTACCACCAGATCTAAAATTGAAAATTTTATTCAATTGGTCGGAACTCCATATTATGGTCAGTTTTTTGGGACCTGCATTCTGGCCCGCCCACTTCATCACAACAGCTTCAGCAGCCGACAGCCTCCCGACACACAGCTCTAGGTGCCGCCTAGCCCCGCCCCCAACCCACCTCCCTGGCCCAGGCACTGCCACAGTGGCCTTGATGGTGAGGGGGCAGACTTCTGCCAGCAAGAATATGAAGTAGTTGCCACCTTTATTATGGCATAAAGAGGGTGGAAAACCATGGCTTCACCACCATCTTAATTAAGGGCAGTAACATGGCTGGCAGACATCCCTGTTATGGGTTCAAGAAAACAAAACAAAATAAAAAAAAAAACCCACAACATAACTTGCCTGGAGGCCCTGACAGCCAAATCTTGTAACAACAATAACACACTTGGGATTAATTTTGGAACATTAACTTGTCTATCCTTGTTAAAACGTGGTTTTTGTATTCTGAAACTTATGCTCTGTCTTCACTCTTTAAAAGGCACTCTATTTTAACATTACAGGTACAGTTTAGAGCAGATAACCTCAAACTTTACCCACCTGTCTATGTTTTCAAGGCTAAGCTAAGCCTAGGATGGATAACTAGAAACCAGCAAAGTTTGTCTATTCCAATATACTTTTGATAGATAGATGGTCCTCAGGCACTTCAGAGAGCTGCTGAACGTGGCATTTAAGATGTTTAAATATACTATGACAGACAGAGATTTCCAAAACCTAGCAGTGCCCAGCTCCAAGGTCTCCAAGAAGATACATCCACAACAACAAAGGGCTCCCCCTGGATTGTGGATACACTGACATAATTGTCCCAGTACCTTGACCGTCAGGACACTGCCAGAACTGTGTGTGGGCAAACCACACCAGAGCTAATTGTCCCATGTTGCCTAAGACAAGGTTAGGTTGGTCTCACCCATGTTCCTTCTCCACAGAGGGCCAGAGGGGCAAAGACTGCCTCTGTTCTCAGAGCCATCCGACAGCCACAGGAACCTAATGGAGTGGCTGTCTAGGTAATGGGTAAGTCTGTCATTTTAACTGATACTTAAGGCCACTTAGATTACACTTCCTTACTCAGGTAAAATGTATCCTTCTCAGGTCTCTGAGGGGTTTGAAGACTAATGAAAGAAGTAACTTTTTACTATTCCTTTATCTAAAGAAACTCACTTTACAGTGACTGCTCCCAGTGATCGACCACCAGATCTACCAGTTCCAGCATCCTGCCAACTCCAGGTGTTTTCTGGAACCTGCATTCAGGACAGCTCAGAAAAGCAGCAGCTACCCACAGGTGCTTCAACTAGGCTATCAGTTGCTAGTCCCAAATGGTCCCACAACCTGGACAACAAGTAAAACTGCTTGCACTTCCCAGACTTGACCAACATCCTAGTCTTTTGTCACCCACTATAACAATGCCCCAAAGTAAGCAGGAAACAGTCATAGATGACGACATTGCCCCTTATTCAGTTATTATCAACAAAAGGCTAGGATGTTGGCTTTCCGGGCAGGATCAAAGTGCTGAGATGCATAGTTTACATACCAAAGCAGACCTGGCCTCCAGGTTCTCCCAGGATCCCTCCTGGCACACCCAACCCTCTATCCTGAATTTTCCAGCCAGGGGTCTAGGCTTCTCCTCCCCTAGAAGTTCTTTCCTATATAACCCAGACATTTGTTCTCTCCCCGCCTCCTTCCCCTCTCTGCATTGTCTCTCTCCCTGCCTGTGTGCATGCTCTTTCTCTTCATGGTGACTTCCCTGCCTTGTTCCGTGGGCTCAGCCCAAGAGTGGCTTCCCAATAAACCTTTACATTAATTCTGCTTGAATTGGTTCATTTCACTGGCAGAGTACCAATCAAATATTTGCAAGCCAAAAAACATGAGTTAACTTGCCATACATGACCTTTGGCTGACAGATTTACTCTGTTAAGACCATGGCAATGAGACCTCAAGCACTGAGAATACTGTAATTTCAGACCACGGACTCACATAATTTTAAGAAATATTCTCCAACTCCCTATTCTTTCTTTCTTTCGGTTTTTCGAGACATGGTTTCTCTGTGTAGCCCTGGCTGTCCTGGAACGCGCTCTGTAGACCAGGCTCAGAGATCCATCTCCCTCTGCTTCCCGAGGGCTGAGATTGAGAGTTATGCGCTGCTACCACCGCCTGGCTCACAGTAGGTTCTAATGAGCAGTACGCACAGGTTCCTGGAGAGCGCTTAAGAACTACTCAAAACTAATTACCCAAGGGTAAGACACAGATGAGCACAGGACTGAAACCACAGTAAACTGTCTTTCATATTCAGCTTTCTCCTTCCGTCCATGCAAAATTTAAACAAAGGGAGAACACCTAAACTAATTGTGCTCACTTTACCCATCCACTTTACAATAAAATCAATCAATAGCTAGGTGTGGTGGCACATGCCTTTAATCTCAGCGCTCAGGAGGCAAATCTCTGTGAGTTTAACAGCAGCCTAGCCTCACAATGAGGCCCTGTCTCAAAAAACAAAGAAGTCAACACACTTTCCGTATCGGGTATCAAAGGATCCAAACCCACATACAGGACTCTGCAAAACAACGTGACATCCCTGCCGCTAGGAGCTTACAGCAATGCGGACTACATTATATTACACCCGTTTTATTACTAGCAAAACTACTTACAAGTAAATAACATCTTTAACATCAATGATCCCACTATAAAAGAAAACCTGAGATGTCTAAAATATTCTCCATAGACAGTCCTAGCATTTACTTAAAAAAGGAAAGCTACAATGGACGGGCTGTGTCATTTAAGTGCTTTTATGCTTAGACAGCCTGAAAGCCATTATAAGGAACCACACTGGAGCTTTCTGGAACAAACCTTGTAAGAACCACCAATAACACAGCTATCACTTTAGCACACTCCCAGTGCTATTTTCAAAGTTCTTTTCATAATCATTACTCTGTTTGACTCTTTAAAAGTTCCCATGGGAGCTGGACAATGGTGATACACCCCCTTAATCCCAGCACTCAGGAGCAGAGGCAGACAGATCTCTGAGTTTTAGGCCAGCCTGGTCTACAGAGCGAGTTCCAGGACAGCCAGGGCTACACAGAGAAACCTAAAAACTAAAAACAACAAACAAACAAACAAACAAACAAAAAACACCCTTCCTTCCCAAAGTTCTTATACTGTTTTTTTGTGTCAACTTAACAAAAACTAGTCATCAGAGAAGAAGGAGCCTCAGTTGAGGAAATGCCTCCATGAGATCCAGCTGTAAGACAGTTTCTCAATTAGTGATCAGTGGGGAGGGCCCAGCCCAAGGTGGGTGTTGCCATCCCTGGGCTGGTGGTCCTGGGTTCTATAAGAAAGCAGGCTGAGCAAGTCAGGGGAAGCAAGCCAGGGGAAGCAAGCACCATCCATGGCCCCTGCATCAGCTCCTGCCTCTGGAGGAACCTGGGTTCCTGCCCTGCCTGAGCTCCGGTCCTGAATTCCTCCAATGACACACTATAATCTGGAAGTGTGAGCCAAATAAACACTCTCTCCCCAACTTGCTCTTTGGTCATTGTGGGTTTGTCCGCAGCAGGAGAAACCATAAGACAGTTCCCTTGGGGGCTGCAGTTGGCTCAGTGGTTAAAGGGTGTATGCAGTTCTTGAGTTCTTGCAGAGGACTCAGGTTTGCTACTCAGCACCTACCCACGTGGTGGCTCATAATCACTCATAACTCCTGTTTCAGGGCATCTGATGTCTTCTTCTGACCTCCACAGGCATCAGGCACACAGATGTGTGCATATATTCACACAGGCAAAATGTTTATACACATAAAATAAATCTACAAAAGTGTCTGAAACTAAATAAAAATTCTCATGAAGGGACAACTCTCTTTTGAATCTCTCATCCCCCATTCCAGGGAGTTAGTTCTTTCCTTACCTTTAAACAAAACAAAACACCAAAACTGACCAAACAAACAAAAAAAAAACCTTCCTTACTTGTCCCCCTCTCCCAAAAAACTTCTCAGGAAGACTCTGCATTCAAATGGCATAAACATCAAGGCTAGGGCAAATTTGCCTGTGCACTAAGAGGCAAATGAGTAACACTACCAATCCAGATCCCAGGTGGTGAGGATACTCAGCCCAGGGCTCCTCTGGTCACCCAGGGAAATCATAGGCCTCCCATGAAGAGCCTCCCTGATAGAATGTGTTCAGAAGGAGCCCAGAAGCAGAAGCAGGCCATAGCCAGGGCATGGAACACACAGACATTCCTGGTACAAAAAGAAAGGAATAGACCAAAACAGAGTTGATTCGGAT